TTTTACACGAGTGTTTAAAGGATATAAGATGAAAAAACTTTTCTAATTTTTATTTTAAACGTTTTGCCATATCATTTGTCCGATATGGACAGTTCGATAACGAAAAACGAACCTTAATTAATAATAATAATTCGATTGAACACAATTTGTTATTCTTGCGCAAATACCACTATTATAGATCTGCAAGTTTTTGTTTAAGTTCTACGCGGACGAAGTCACGGGTTAAAGCTAATTTAATTATAGTCTCGTACAGAAAATAATCCAGAAATTTAAACCAGGCCTCGTGTTTACAAAATTTTATATTGTTGCAATTCTAGTGCTTTCCATTGTTTATCAGTTGGACAACATTGTAGACAGTTAAGCGTTCATATTGTGATTTATCCGAGCTAATCCGAACAAACAAAATGTCGCATCTCTGCTCCAGATAAACGCATTTGCACTTTACAGCCGTTATCTCGGTGCATTATCAAAAGATTTAACACGAATAGCGCGGGATTATCTGATCCGTCACAATAACATTTTTTTACAATACAGGATGATAAAGAGGTTGCCAATCATAGACTGCGGTGATCTCTTGCCATTAGCTCCCTTAATTACGTTACCTTACGTATTCCATCTCATCTGCATAGTCCATCTCTTGCATAAGTGGATGTTGTGACCTACAAGATTAATTTGCAAGAACCGGCCCAATTTGCGGAGGTTCAAAATAAGTAATATAGCCAAATGGTGAAGAAAAATTAATTTAAAAAATCTCAGACATTCTGTCCTTCTTATCTTTTAAATTCAAAATGCGTGGTAATGCATTATTTTAACTCATTGTCTACTATTTTACTAAGCACACACACATTTTTAAAGGACGATCGGTCGGTAAAAATGTTGTGAATTGAATCGCACACAGAGGAGCACGCGTCGTACGCGTAGTTGTTGCCCATAAATCACATTCAGTTTGGGATAATTTCATATAAAAGTAGAAGCCTTATTTACTCGTAATTGCAATAACGATATATCGTTATTTATATATTTCAACTCAAGTTTAAAATTTAGCTACTCTTTGAAAAATAACCCTGTATAGATGCTTATATGTCCACGGTAAAGAATCAAAATACAGATGCGTTGCCATTCATCAGGATCAAGATGAAATGCCTCGTTCCCAATAAAAACTGCGTGCGACATAGAGAATATGTCACGCTGGTATTCTATGCGAGCGTGGTCCTTTGTCTCACAGAATACCAGCGTAAAATGGCAGCTTGACACTGCTGTTTCGTATGGTGAGTATAGAGAACCGGAGACCCATTTTACTGGAAAAGAGACATTCCATCTTAGTCCTCACGGGTGACGACGCATCTTCATTTTGATTCTTTTTGAGGATAAATGTAGATGTCTATGGGTCACAGCAACCACTTACCATCAGGTGGACTGTGTGCTCGTTTGTCACCCTATCCTATAAAGAAAATATTTGTTTGTCTTTCCCTAGAAAATTATATTTTTTGGCAGCTATCCAAATAGTTGAAGCAGTTTCCTGTTCGCGCCACTTTGCAACTACCGCCTAACGTTTATGAGATTCGTTAATTGTTATTCAATGAGAGTACTGCACGAGGCCCATTTCGTGGTTTCCTATCTACCGCATTTTATGGCTAGCATGTGTACTTTTGTGTATAACGGGGTTCTCACAAGTTCGCAAGACACGCAACCAACCGCACCGCTTCTATCTCGCGCCTTCGCTCTCGCCCTTGTGTGGTTTAGATATTGAACTATACAAGAATACAGCAAAGTGTATATACATTTGCAATAACGCTATATTTCGCGATAATCTGTGAAAGTTATATATGTGAAGACAGCCGGCATCAAACAAACGTGCAACGCAGCCTCGGGGGACACTAGGCAGATCAGCGGAAGTCCAGCATTCCTTCACATACATCCCTCCTGTAGCCCGAATTGAGGGACATTTGCAGTATTGCGAAATAGTATATTGCCATTGTCTCATACAGTCCATAATTTACGTAAAATCATCTTTTTAATAACTCTGAACCAGCAGTTGGCCATTTAAACCAACAAACCATATTTACCATCATTGTAGTAATCCGCACCGCAGCAGTAAATTCGCAACGCCTCATCTAGGCCGGGATAACTAACTTTAATCTAACAGAAACCAATGGCATATTGTATGCCATTAGTTCCAATGTTCCTTTGATGTGCGCTTTGTCCGTTTATAAATTATTGCGTCCCGCTGTTTTATTTGCAACTAGCTGTTCCCCGCGACTTCGCTCGTGTGTTGGGTTTTTATGTTTTGCGCGGAACCCTAATTCTTTTTCTTTTTCTAAAATAAAAGTAGCCTAAGTTACTCCTTATAACATCAGCTATCTGCCAGTGAAAGTCCCGTCAAAACTAGTCCAGCCGTTTCCGAGATTAGCCGTAACAAACAGACAGACAGACAAAAATGTTAAAAACTGTATTTTAGTTATAAGTACCGTATTTACTTTCATATGCATTTAGTAAAAAACTGTAATTTTGACATTACAAACAGGCACTTCGATTTTATTTATTTATATAGAAGATGTACCTATAGATTGTAAAAAATTCAGCTTTGATCAAAAACTAATCTAGTACGAAATCTGGTATTGTTGGACTTATGTATACAGGTAAAGAGGTATGTAAGGATCCTGACCACTTGGCGATCTGTTCTCTCTGGCTACCCCGTCAGGGATTGTGCGTGAAGATAAATAATAAAAAAATAATAAAAAATGTATACAGGGTTATTTGGTATATACTAAAAATCTCTCAGACTGTATGCTGTGACAACGAAAAGTGTTAAAATTGTCTTTGAATCATCAGCTGTCACTTGCTCTATCTCTTTTATAAAATATCTCGCACTATTGTAACGCGTAATCATTTAGTTACTTTTGCTGCTGACCCGCACACCTATCTTTAAAACGAAACACTTTTCTACGACTCTTAAAAAATCGCTCATAAAATTTTCCATCTATTCTTTTTTTATACGATAAGGCTGACAAACGAACACACAGTCCACCTGATGGTAAGTGGTTGCTGTGGCCCATAGATATCTATCCTCGATTACGAATCGAAATATTTCCAGTAAAAAGGGTCTCCGGTTCTCTACACTCACCATACGAAACACAGCAGCATTAAGCTGCTATTTTACGCTGGTATTCTGTGGTGGGAGTGTGGTCCTTCCCCGGTCGAGCCGACCCATTCGTGCTACAACTATACCAGTGATATAGCTGCAGCATGGCTCTACCGAAAAGATTGAGATTTAATATGCATATATTACCCACTATAATACCACATGAAAATATATATATGACGGCATCTGCACCGTTGTAGATGCGGTGGCGTCGGTCTAGCTAGACAGAATTCTTGTAAACGACACGTCTACCGCACACCTGCGGCATTGCACCTGCGTTGCCGCCCGTCCTGCTTGTATAAAACGGACTGAGCGGCCGCCGTTAAGACAGTCTTGACAGGCTCTGACGTGGAACGGTGCGCTTGTCGTATTCCGTTACTAGTTTATCCTCGACTCGTTGGATAATTTATTCGTGTAAACGAATTAATTATTATTCCTAAATACAAAATTAGTCTCTGTACTATACCCGTTATACTTCCTACATATATATAAATTCGTTAGTTTCGGAAAAACTAAAAAATGGCTCGACTGATTTTGATGATTTTTTTTTCCGTGTTGTTGGACAGAGCGGAGGCGGATCGCCCGTACAAAATAAAAACCGGCCAAGTGCGAGTCGGACTCACGCACCGAGGGTTCCGAACAAATACGTATAAGTTTAAAATTATTTTTATTATATGATATAACTAAAAATTTATGCTTTTCGCAATTTTTCCTTTATCTGTGCTACAATACGTTGCTTCGTACCAAATTTTAAGATTCTGACTTCACGGGATGTACCCTGTAAGTTTTGATTCCCTTGCGAATGTCGAAAATTTGCGGCATAATCGGATGTATCTTTTGATTGCGTTGGTTTAGAAGTTTGATTTTTTCACAGCTCTAAGGGACAGTAGACTTGAATATTTGATATGTTTATTATAATTTCAGCTTGATACCTCCACACGTTCCTGAGAAAAAGGGTCTTGACTGTCAGACAGACAGACAGACAGACAGACAGACGGACAACAAAGTGATCCTATAAGGGTTCCGTTTTTTCCTTTTGAGGTACGGAACCCTAAAAATATTGTGTTTATTTCTCTATGTTTGATATTACTCTGTAAATACATTGCAATAATTAGAAATGTTGAAATACTGCAACGTCACGAGTACAAAAAGTTTAGAGTAGTGAAAATATGGAAATTCCAAAAAAGGAATCAAAATTGGTTATATCGAAAAGTATTAAGTTTCAAAAAAGTCAAAGAAAAAAATGTCGAGATTAAAGTTGGAAAAATTTACTTTATCAATATCCGCTCAATAAAATAAAATGATTTGTCCACTAAGACCGCGGTTACGTCAGGGAGTTGTATAAAGAGCAGCTGTTTTGATTCACCGCTCACTTAGCGTTCAGCCACCACAGAGGATGCCTCGTGTAGAGGCGAAACACGTGTCGTATTATCGTCGGTGGTGTGTCTTTCCTAGTGTAGTGGTGTTGGGAGTAGTGGTGACGGGTATAGTGCACTCAATTTAGGGAGGGCGGGAGGTGCTCTTCTAACTCTATTTTTCTTACTTCTATTTTAATTCGCAAACGAAGATGTAGATGTCTATGGGCCACAGCAACCACTTACCATCAGGTGGACTGTGTGCTCGTTTGTCATCCATATCCTATAAAAAAAGAAAAAAAACTAGGTAAGACACATCTTTTTATTTTATCGAGCGGATATAGGCAAAGTATTTTTTTCTAACTTTAATATAATGGATTTCCGCAAAGTAACGCCTGATTCTATTAATTATCAAAGATAGCAAATAAAATCTTAGAACATTTTGGTATATTACAATCAATCCTGTAACAAAAACAAGCCTTACATCAAAAACATTCACTTACATTGTGTCCGTAGTCCATGTTCTATATAATCACATTTCTTTGTCAGCTTCATAGTATGCCTAAATTATGGCAGTTAAAATTGGCTTCTTCCAAAGACAGAGCCAACACTTCGATCCCTTTTCCAAAAACGCAAACTGTAATCGTGTCCCTGTAAACAAATTGGTGCAGACAATTGGTGCAGATTTTTTTTTCTTGGCGGTCTGTTCTAACACTTATTACATATTACTCCAATAATTAGAGTACGTAAATTTTACGAAACAAAACTAAGTTAAAAATGAAGGACGATATTATCTTTTTTTTAACCGTTACCTTCACAATAGTACCTCGACTCCTGTATCGTGGGGGCAGTTCACATACATAAATTTCACAAGGACAAACATCCAGACCCGGAATAATTATTTGTAGGCCATACAAATGCTTGTTCCGTGCGGGATTCAAACCCGCGGCCCCCAGCGCAGCAACTCATTGCTAAGCCGCTGCGCCACGGAGCCAACATTTACTATTTCCGTAGTTCTATTTGAAGTGTAGTGGCGGAGTAAGATAATCCACTACCCGTGGGTGTCGTAAGAGGTGGGAGAAGGACACTAAAAAAAACTGCGGTTTAAACGTCGCAACTACGGTAAATATCCCCCCTTTCAATACAATCTATGATGAAGCCTTTGCTCAGCAATGGACTTTTAATAGACTATAATTAAATACTGAAATTATACGCAATTATACTGTGTAGTAGTTGTATGGTGGGTAACTTATGAGAACCATTTCTTATTCATTAATTTCCATTAAACCAAGTACAAGGACGTTCGGTAGATGGCGGTGTAACCATAACATAATAACCATTTCCGGCATGGCAGGCGTTATCGTGTGGTGACAGTGTAAAATAATCTACAAGTGACTACTAACTAATCTTGCTGCACGTGGTAGAGCCATGCTGCAACTATATTAGTAGTATAGTTGTAGGAAGGACCACGCTCTCACAGAATACCAGCGTAAAATAGCAGCTTAACACTGCTGTGTTTCGTATGGTTATATAGGATAGGGTGACAAACGAGCACACAGTCTACCTGATGGTAAGTGGTTGCTGTGGCCCATAGACATCCACATTTATCCTCGTTTGCGAATCAAAATGCAGATGCGTTGTCACCCGTGAGGACTAAGATAGAATGCCTCTTTTCCAGTAAAAAGGGTCTCCGGTTCTCTACACTCACCATACGAAACACAGCAGCAAGCTGCTATTTGACGCTGGTATTCTGTGAGAGCGTGGTCCTTCCCCGGTCGAGCCGACCCATTCGTGCTACAACTATACTACTAATATAGCTGCAGCATGGCTCTACCACGTAAAGTAAGAACTACTTACTATGCGAAGCAACAGTACGTGCACTGCTGTGTTCCGATCTAAAGCGTATAGAGCCACTATAATTAGAGGATGTGAGTCATTCCTTCTTAGTCTTGACAACGCATCTGTAGATTTCTTCGTTTGAAGTCGTTGGCTGGTGCTGGTGCTGGTGAACTTTAAGTTGTGTGAACTACATTATGCTCTTCTTTGAAAGGTTTGGCAAACGCCGGAAAAAGATTTCTGGTGTTTGCCATATCCAATTACAATCAGAAGTTCGATTGTCACTTCAATTTTTATAACAAAGTATGGTATAGTGGAGTGTCTAACACTGGACTGTTAAGAGCTAATAAAGAAAAAGGTACTACGAGTATTTCTTACCCAGACTTCTTGATAAAATCGACGCCCTGAATATCCGCTACATCGCTGATAGTTTGATAAAGAAATTCTACTTCACGGCCATTCTTACTTATTTTAAAAACTGTTACCCGTTGATCAATCGACGCTGTCACCATAATATTGTCTTTTAATAAAACACCAGTTATTTGTGAACCGTGAAATCTGTCAGATGTCCAAGTATGAACAATTTCAGCAGATTGAAAATCTTCATTTGGTATATGAACTATTTTCACATGAACTGCATTATCGTCACCTCCCGTAGCTAACAGTATTTCTGAATCGGAAATTATTTTTGACGCAATGCAGTTGATACCAGATTTGTTTGTGGTCGTAGAGAGGAAAGCTGTAGCATCATTGTCTGTTATACTATTTGGTTCAGTAAGATCCCAAAAGCAAACTTCTCCTCTTGTTGTACACGTCATTAGAATAATCTTATCTAGAAATTTTACGCAATGAGTTTTAAGTATGCACGTTTTATGATACTTCAACTGTCCTAAAGGTTTGAACGTTACTTTGTCGTCGTGATATTTAAATTGAAAAATCCTAAGGTAAGCATCGGAACACCCTGCATAGATAAGAAAACAATTATCTTTGCCTTCAACAACCTCTAAGTCCATAATTCGAGTTTCTGGATCGAAATCCACAGTACAGTTACGCCAAGTTTTGGCACCTTTGCGCTCTTTGTCTGTACCTTTAACTAAAAAATCAATAACATCTTCCACTACTACTTTAACATCATCACAGTCTTTAACAAAATGCATTATATTAATACAAATTTGCGCTCTTCCGCCGCCCGAAACAACAAGTAGCTTATCAATCTCCAAAAGAAAAACTTTCAAAGTTCTGATACTCGACAGATGTTTTAGAATAACCTCATCCTGGAAATGCTTACTTTCTTTAGCAATCGACACTCTTAAAGTTGTATCTTCCCCGCCTGATATAAAGAACGTCGCAGATTCCTCTAACTGTGGGTGGTGTGATTTCAAACAGTTAATCTCTTTTGAATGTGTACCTTTTATAATGTCTTTGGATGTAATTTTACTTATACAAAATGTCTGCATGTTAATATCAGAATTTTTTAAGTAAACTAATTTAATAATTTGTTCATAACCATTATTTATATTTTCTATATAGCGCACTACGTCCCAAGATCTATGGCCTCCGCCACAATGCACTTCGAGTAACTTCGAATTATTTCTTAAATCGGCTATAACAAACACTCTCTCTTGGAAACCACAAATTAAATTATCTTGAGAGTCAATACATTTTTCTACCCATTGAAATCCTAAATCCTTAGAACTAGTATGTTTTATTCGATATACGCCGTTGTTATAGTACACGGAAAAATATTTGATTGTTCCATCCCTACCAGTTGATATAATTCCATTATTTTTTATTCTTATCGAAGTAGGGCCATACCTACCGTGTACTTTAGCGAATGTTTTTATAGGATTTGTGCCTTCTTTAATGAAACAATGAATGTTACCACATCGATCTCCCACAACTAGTAAGTTATTGTCTAAGTTCATAGCTGCAGAGGTCAGCCATCTTTCTTTACAATGTGGAAGTAAAAATTTTGAAACAATTTCTACTTCACTACCTTTAGATGCTATAACGCATATATCACCACTTTCGGAGCAGAGTACTATATGTCTGTTGTCTGCCCATTGCATAGATAAAATTTTATTTATTTGTAGTTTTGTGCTTATAACATTCTGAACACTTGCAGGGCCTTTACAGTTCTCAACAAAAACCTCTAGACTTCCATTCGTATCTGCAACAGCTATTATTTGTTTACATGGCGAAATACTAAGCATTACGTAAGTGGATTCATGTTTTATTTTATGTACAATTTCTGTTTTCTCAGCTATAACATAATAAATCAAATGTCCGGTTTCATTGAGGACGGCTAAATTTCTTCGCGCAGTAAAAACCAACTTCTTTGGTGTTCCTTCACCTATTCGTAGAGTATCAGAATCACTGTAGTCACTGGCTACTGTTAAAGGATGCATTGTTACACCGCAGTCCGCTCCTCCCGTGACCAGGTTATGTTCGTCGACATCAACGGACCATATAGGTGCATTTTGATGGGCGCCAATCTTCTTGAGTAACGTTCCATCGGAATCCCAGAAGCAAATGCCCGAATCTTCGCCGACAGATATTACGTATCTGTTTGTAATACAACTCCGCATCACCCTAGCCAAATGTCCATATAATTCATGTATGCATGAAATGGTAACACTGTCCCAAAAAGCCTTTGTGTTACGATCTATAGCAGGCCCATTCAGGCCCCATATCCGAACAGAACGATCGTCAGATGTGGTCACTATGATACCTCTTTCTATGCTACAGGAAATTGAAAATATTACACCCTGTAATAACAAACAATGTACTTTAATAATATTAGTTTTTTTTTTAATATAGAATAAAGTTGACAAACGAGCGCACAGTCCATCTGACACGGCGGCCAGCCTCAACGCAGGCATAGTGCCAGGGTGTATGCGCAAGCCTAGGTGCACCCTCTTTTCCCTAATCCTCATAGTCCGATTGGACGGTAAACTGACCCGACCGGAGGGAGCTTTATGTTATTTCAGAGGCACGGGGGTGAAACACTGCCAACGCCAACTCTGAACAGCTACTGAGAATTTTTTGACAGAAAAACTCGATGATTGATTGGCGTTGCGCCTGATCCTTCTCCCGTCGTGTCTGATTACCGTCCCATCAGGCTAAGCTTGCGGCACCTTAGAGCACCTAAACTTGCGCTTGCTTGTAAGTGCGCAAATGGCTAGCAAATGGTGACCGAAATTCGATCTGGAGGATATTAATTAATTCTTCCCATTGTGCAGTTCTGAATCAGTCTTGCCTCGAGGATGGCACGTTTTTCATGGTTGTCAGAATCTACTACCCCGTATCATATTGTCCTAAGAGACGATAGAGAGAAATGAGAGATTTTGGACAGTTGCATCTTCTTGATAACAACTGAAAATTAAAAACTGCAGTTGCCAACCACCTGCTTAGCGTGGCAACTATTCAAAGGAGAGGCCATGTTCAGCAATAAACATTTGATAGGAATTATGATGATGATGATGAAATATAGTCATCTTTTACGACATCCACGAGACATTTCTTTCTTCTCATATTTTTTTTATACAATAAGGATGACAAACGATCACACAGTCCACCTGATGGTAAGTGGATACTGTGGCCCATAGACATCTATATTTATCCTCAATTAAGAATCAAAATACAGATGCGTTTTCACCCTTGAGGACTGAGATGGAATGCCTCTTTTCCAGTAAAATGGGTCTCCGGTTCTCTATACTCACCATGCAAAACACAGCAGTGTCAAGCTGCCATTTTACGCTGGTATTCTGTGAGAGCGTGGTCCTACCCCGGTCAAGCCAACCCATTCGTAATGCCACCACAATATAGCTGCAGCATGGCTCTACAATGTCTTTATAATTTTGTTACGAATGTTAAGTTTGTTTTTAATTAATTTGACACTACCACTATGCGATGAAGAATAAAACTGAAAATATAAAAATAATCCCTGCTTACTTACTTTGTGGCCAATCAATCGATGCAGGGGTTCTTCACATTCACATCTTGATATTATCACTTCAGAGAAGACTGTACCGCTGAAGACTAGTATATCATCTATTAACGGTGTAATAAGACCACTGTATAATATCGAGTTGTCCTTGTTGATAGTACAGGATATTAGAATTGGGTTATTTGATACATCCCACACCTACAAAATCCAATAAATCACAAGTATTTAATACCAATAAAAATCAATTCAACTGTTACCAATAAAGTAACAAATTGAACTGCTTCATCTTTTGATTGCGCACTAGCTAGATTTGGTTTGAAGATAAATAATATTAAAGTGTTTATAAAAATAGTTTAAGGTGTGAAAAAAAAATAGAAAAAAACATATTCCAGAGCCATGGTAGCTTGGGAGCAATGCACTTTCTTTGAATTCCATAAGACATGAGTAATGATTGTTCCCCAGTGTTGGGACAACTGGAATAGCAATTTTAGGTGCTGATTTATCTACTATACAGTGGAGGAAAACCTGGCAAGGACATCTGCATATTTAAAAAGCAAAGTATAAATTGAGAACTTGTTGTGTTGTACCATATTATGCATTGAGGCATCATGGTTTGCTTAAAGGCTGTTGATCATAACTTCATTATAATCCCATAAGTTATCCATTGTTAACTACTTTAAAGCTACCATTTACCCATGAAGCCTCACTTTTTAATTGCCAAGCATATCTAGCAGATTAGTGATAACAACACCCATCATTTTCACACGGTTGATACTCATTTCCAATCTAGATATTTTATGTTTGGCAGATGATTACATCTTTTTTTTTATAGGATAGGGTGACAAACTAGCACACAGTCCTTGGCTTACCATCAGGAGGACTGTGTGCTGCACAACCACTTATGGTTGCTGTGACCCATAGACATCTACATTTATCCTCAATAAAAAATCAAAATGTAAATGCGTTGTCACCCGTGAGGACTATGATGGAATGCCTCTTTTCCAGTAAAATGGGTCTCCGGTTCTCTACACTCACCATGCGAAACACAGCAGTGTCAAACTGCCATTTTACGCTGGTATTCTGTGAGAGCGTGGTCATTCCCCGGTCGAGCTGACCCATTCGTGCTACAACTATACTACTAATATAGCTGCAGCATGGCACTACCACATATAAAATCTATATTTCAATTTTTTTATAAATTCTTTTATTTTCAGACAACAAAGATCCATGGGTTAATATTACATTATCGCTTAAAAACTAAGTATTAGTACTTATAAAAAATTTAATTAAATTATATTATATTATATTAGAATTAAATTACATCAAACTAAAATCATATTAATTCAAATTAAATCAAATCAAATCAAAATAAAATTAGATTAAATTAAATTCTAATTTGTCATGTACCCGAGAGGCACTCCGTGCGGTCGACACCTAGAAGAATTACCATCCACTGTATGATTCATCGTTCGCACGAAGTGCCTCACAATAGGCGCATGCGGATCATCTGCCACCATTCTCAGGATGCTGTTGTCACTTCTCCGTATCCTTCCTATCAGCGATGCTACTTTTTTCCGAACTACGTCATGAAAACCATCAGTTCTGGTATGTGCAAACATGCCAGAAGCACTACAGAAGCTGGGGAGTACCAATATCATCCTGAAAATGTTATTATACTGGACTCGCAGGGTGTCTAACGATTTTTTGGCATACCTAATCCACAGACCACCCATGTACCCTGACCATATGCTTTATGACCAGACCCTGGCAATATGCTTTAAATAATGTTATTTTGATCTGGTCCGAACAGCGGGCAAATCTACAAGCCAGCATATTGCCGCGCACCGCCAAAGCCCTACGCTCCCTCTCTATGTCTAGATCATCCTTAAGGTCGTCGGCAAGTATATGCCCTAGGTATTTAAATTGATAAACCAGCTTTAGTTCCGATCCATTTAAGTTTATTGCAGGACACATGTCGGCGACCCTAAATACCATGTATTCACTTTTTTACATATGTATATTTTACACTTTTTTTATATATGAGTTGCAATACTTCTCAGGCTTATAGTTTAAGCAACATAGTAGCTGAGTAGTGGTGGTGTAAAATCATCTATTACCCCATATCATCCCTTAGGTGACGTAAGAGGTACAAAGAGAAACTGCAACAGGGGATAAGCGGCAGCATCATCCTGATAATAACTCAAAAACCTGCGGTTGACCACCCACACATTCCTACCTATATTCAGCAGTGTACTTTTACAGGCTGTAATGGAAGTCTCGTAGATTCTATTATTAATTTTTATAATAATAAATAATTCTAGTAAAAAATTTTAAGATGTTATAAAAAACCAATAAGCTATAAATATTGAAATTTTTCAATTACCTGAACAACATTATGTGCTGTTAAGAGAGCTATTTTATTATCAGATGTCCAAATACCACTGTGCAGCCAATCATTGCACAAAACACTACCAGGAGAAAAATCAAATAATCTCAGCTCCAGATTTGATCTGTGTATAACTTTAAACTGCTTACCACCAAATATTAATATCTTAGATTTATCTTTAGTGGGTACAATACCATATATTTTTTGCCCTTCAAGAATATAATTGTGAGTTCCAAAACTTTTTGCAGTATTTTTTTCATAAATGTGTAAAGAACTACCTATACCTATTTAAAAAAGATAAATGTTTATACTGTTTGTAATTGATATGTTTCATAAGTAATTTTTCAAAGCAAATGAAGAAATAATTTCTAAACGTAGAAAAGATTCATTAGATAGCGAAGAACAGTCATTGCATCATTTATATTTTTTTTCTAGACCTAAAACGAGCAATTATTTTTGTTTTACAAAGTAACCTTATTTGCCATTAATAAACAATTTGCATGTTTTTATAACTTTTATAAATGAATATTATTATTATATTTATTATTATATACCTGCAATTATAAATTCTTCATAAAGTTTAACAGCTGTTACATCGGTACGTATAAGTAAGGACATTTTTATAAGTTTATTAGTCTTTATAATTAATTATTTAAATAATAACCTATAACCATAATCCATACATCACACAAAATTACAAAACAAAACAGCTGATCATGCGTCAGCTCAGCTGTCAGTGTCAGTGAAACTTGGCTCTTTTATTTCTTATAACTGGCT